CTCGTGTTTCTATCCTCCAAAGGTCTCCCAAGATCTGAAAATATGTCCCAGACTCCTCAAAAACGTGCCCTAGTGTTGTTTAAATAGTTGGAGTCGAGTCCTAGTCGAAATAGGTCGAAAATACCACAAAAATCGGAAAAACGCGTAAAACGCGTATTGGTCGCGCCCAGGGTCACACGACTCGTGTCATAAGCCACACAGGTCGTGTGACAAAGTCGAGAGCTCGATATACGACCCGTCGGAGCCACACGAGCCGTGTCTCGGGCTCACACGACCCGTGTGAACCTGGGAGTTCAAAACGGCATTTTTGGGGCTGCTCGTGACTCCTGACGTGTTCTCCGGCATCTCAGTCGACTCCAGGTGGTCTAACGTTTCCCAATGTCGTGTCATGGCTGCTTCCGGCCATTTTCCGGCAACTCCCGTCACCATGCGCGAAGGTGACGAGTAACAGCAACTTTTGGCAGCTCGTCTTCTCCATTGCATTCTATCCTGATCTCTGACGTCCCATGAAGGTTCTAGGTTGTCTTACATGGCGTCCAGGTGCTCGTCCTGCGAGTTTCGGCCATTTTCCGGCGGCTTCGTCAGCAGCTTTTCTCCGGCAAAATTCGACCTCCAGGGGGGTTTTTCGGCGACGGGATGGCAACGGAGGTCGGAAAAGTGGTCTCAGGTGGCTAGGTAGCGGCGTGGTGGCTGGCTGCGAAGCTTCTGGCGTGCGACAATGGCGGATGGTTTGTTGCGTGCATTCCTTGTGAAGAAGATGATCTTTTCCATGTCTCAGAAATTACCATATTGCCATTACTTGCATTATTGAGTTGGGCTGAATTTATAAGCCTTAATGGGCTAGTTGGATGGCCCATCTGAGAAAATAAAATGGTCCTGCTGCATATTTCTTGCGGGCTGTGTAACTGGGTTCGTCTCAATTCATGGTTCGCACACCCTTTATGTCCGTGTCACGACGTTTTCGACTCTAAAATTATATCGACCCCATTTTCTGTCAAGACTCAAATAAAACAACTCATCATAGCTTAATAAAATTAATTAACTACACAATTAATTATATAATAATTAATTACATAATAACTAATTATATATCAAACTACGACGAAACAGACACGAAAATCACTATAAAATGCACGTAAATATGACGCATGTCACCGATCCCCATGAGTAACCCTCAATCAAATCCAAGCCGTCGAGCACCTCGTGCAGGAGCTTGGGGGTCACTCTACTACCACTCTTGTCGACGAACAATGTGGTAGCCAGCATCACCCACAGCTAGGCACCCGCCTCATCCCTAGCCGGCCGGTCTTTCCCCCTGAATGCCCCCGAAATGGCGGCTTCGGACACCGAACCACGCTGCCAGAACGAACTCATGAGTTCGCCCTTGGTGACCGAAAGTATCGACATGCAGAGCCCATGGCAGGCGTCCGAATCCGGGTCCTCAGCGACCACGACTCCCTCCACTGGAACGCCCAAAATGGCCCGGACGTCGTGCAGCATGATGCTCATCTCACCAAAAGGCATGTGAAACGAGTTAGTATCCGGCTGCCATCGCTCCACAAAAGCAGAAAGGAGTGGGGTGTCCAACTGGGTGTGCATGGAGTCGACCAAATGTGACAGCCCAGTCTGGTCGAGAAGAGCTCTAACATCGGAAGACATCTCCTCACGCCAAGCCTTCAGATTATCGATCGCTCGCACTCTGTTGTGGCATTTCAGTAGCCCCCTCAAATTCCCATTCCACATGCGGGAGGCGACGTGCCCAAGAAAGCTAGGGATGACACTCCCATCAATGGGTCCACCGGGCACTGGGCCTCTAACGATCCAAGGTGCATCATCATCGGTCCTAGCTCGTTTGCTAGTACCTGCATTAAAATACAACATATCTGTATATATTGACTTGCTGGCAGATGCATTAAATAAAATATATTTAATAAAACATATTTTATTAGTTACGTTACATTTTACATTTTACGTTTTACGTTATTATTATAAGCATATATAATTTTTAATTATTAATATTATTTTTTGAGTTTATAATTAATTACAATTTATTCAACTTACCCTAAATTACAAAATAATTATACTGTAGTTGACGAGCAGGCCGATAATACTTTTCTAACAGTACCGATAATTTATGTTAAACAACAATAAATAAGTAAATTATTTACCTGATGAGGATGCAGAAGGGCCAAAACGCCCCCCAGCCTGCCGTTGAGGAGCAGGCTGTGTGGGACGAACAGCATGTACCGGACGAACATGCTGTACAACCGGCTGTACCGGACGAACTGGCTGTACAATAGGACGAGGGTGGATAGGACCCGTAGGCTGTGCGTGGTCCTGATCATATGAAGAGTCGTCCGAGTCATAGTCCTCTGGACCCGGCTCCCTCTCGCCGTACGACTCATCATCAGCATATCCCTGCTGACCATAAGGTAATGGTACGCGTGCACGGGGGGGTAACGACTTCCCTGCGAACCGGAGAAAAGAACATCCCGGCTGATCGTACGGTACTGGTGCCGGGGGCATCGTCCTGCCCGCCTGGCCAGGATAATAAAATCCATGTTCGCCGTACGGGATGGCTCCGTGGGGTCGCGAACTACCTGGCTGGCCCTCAAAATGATATGGACCAGTGGGCACTGGTGCGGGGGGGCGGGAACTCTGGCTCGCCTGACGAAGCTGTACCCTACGAGCCTCATCGATCAACGCCTGCCTTTCCGCGTCCCTCTCCCGACGAACGGACGCATTGACACCCCGACTTCTAGTGTGTCGGGTGCCAGAACCATCATAATAATCATCGTACGCCTCGTCGTCGTCCCTGACATTAGATTGTCCAGGTCTGCCAACACCCTGAATTAGAAATATAATTATTAGATTTTCCCAATGTAATGATTATTCTAATAACTGTTAAAATAGATTATAATTCATTTTTCTTTTCATATCTAAATTTTATTAATTATTATTATAATTATAATTGTTTTCTTTTCATATAATTATAATTTTTTAGTTCAATTATTATAATTAACTTTAATTTATAATCATTATTATATTTAATTATAATTATCATTACAAAATATAATTATTATTTCTTATAATAGTATTATTATAAGCATATATAATTTATAATTATTAATATTATTTTTCAAATTTATAATTAATTATAATTATTATAATTATTTATTATTATTATTATGATTTATAATTAATAATAATTATAATTATTATTATTATCAATTATTATAATTTATAATATTTATAATTATTATTATTATTATTATTATTATGATTTATAATTAATAATAATTATAATTATTATTATTATCAATTATTATAATTTATAATATTTATAATTATTATTATTATTATTATTATT